TGCCCATTTATAAATAATATAAGCCAATGTCGACACCCTGAAACATGTTATCTGTATTAAACATTCATTTCAAAATAATCATGTGAAAATGCTTGAAGTTGTAAATAATAAATAACGCACGTTTATTTACATACATGTAGTGCATAAATCTGTTCCTTCCAACGCTGTTTCAACTCGTAATTCTGTTCTCATATTCATAATACATGTATAATTCCTTAAAACGACACACACAAGAAAACACGTAAACATAATATATTTTAATTGTGACTTGCTGTTAAGTACATGTATGTTTATCCCTATTTTCTTCATTTCTTCTATTTCCTTGAGCTTAAAAGGGTCATACGTCTACGTCATCATTTTGTGAATGAGAATACAGCGCACCAAGTAGTATGAAAAATAACTAGTTTTCACACGAAGCCCTCTATTGGCAAAATCCCCTAGCCCATCTTAGAATATTACTTCCGACTTTATAAGGCAGTGAACGGGGTTAAAATATGAATTCGGAGTGAGGTTTACGAATTCGGAGTGAGCTTTTTCAATTCGGAGTGAGGTTTACGAATTCGGAGTGAGCTTTTTCAATTCGGAGTGAGGTTTACGAATTCGGAGTGGGGTTTACGAATTCGGAGTGAGGTTGCGAATTCGGAGTGGGGTTTACGAATTCGGAGTGAGGTTTAAGAATTGAGAGTGAAGTTTAAATATTCGGAGTGAGGTTTAAGAATTGAGAGTGAAGTTTAAATATTCGGAGTGAGGTTTAAGAACTGAGAGTGAAGTTTAAATATTCGGAGTGAGGTTTAGAATTGGGAGTGTCGTTTGGAATTTGGAGTGCACTTGTGGGCCACCGCAGGAAGTTTGACAGAGAGGATGTGAACTCTTTATTGACAAAGCCCCTTTTACACTGGACGCCGTCCTTTGTGCGTTCTTTGTGGGACCATGAAACTGACATCGCTGTGGTCGTATTTGAAAACCGGTTCTAGAGCAGTGTGAGGCTCCAGTTCAATTGTATATATAGCCACAGCGGTCTTCCCTGCAGCGGTCTACCCAGCAGCCTTAGACATCAGCGGTCTACCCAGCAGCCCTAGACATCAGCGGTCTACACAGCAGCCCTAGACGTCTTGGTCTCACCATCGGTCCCAGCGGGCAAATTATGTTGTTTTAACGTTGAAACAACTTTGAACCATAACATTGAAAAGACATTGTATAAACGTTGGATTTGAAAGTTGTGTCAACCTCAGATAACAACGTTGTATCAACGTCAGAAAACAATGTTATATCAACCCCACCCAGCGGGAAATTTGCCTGGATGTGTTTAGCAGTAGGACGTGTTTGTATGGCCTTTAAGTTAAAATTTCCAAGGTTTAGGTTTATACATATATATAACAAGATCACAGTCACCTCAACCTGTCTATCTTTAACAGCTTACCAAGAACTGTTAACTCCATCACATTTACAGCAACTTATTCATCTTAGTGTTAGCTGACCTTGCAAGCGATTCAGTTTATTGGAATGTATTTCTGAATAACAAGTTAAGAAAATTCACTAGTTAACTAAAGACACAAAACAACTGTCACTTTCACTTTAAAACCATTTTGTTATAATTTTGATAAATTTAGTTTCAGTATTGATGAACAAAGTATCACGTTTTCAATAATTAATATTTTTAATTACAATCCATAACTGCAAGGTTGTGTCATTGACCAAAATACAACGTTGAGTCAACGTGGCTGGATCAACGTTGATTAAACTTTGAATTTAGGTAGATCAAAGGCAATTCAACGTATCAACCTGTTTTCAACGTTGATCCAACGCAACTATGCCTGCTGGGGGTGGCTTTCTCACTGGCCCTCGTCACAGCGGTGTAGCTAACAGCCTTAGACGTCAGCGTTCTCAGCATCAGTGGTTCTCTCACCGGCTCTCATCACAGCTGTCCCACCAGCAGCGGTTTTTCAATTTGCATCTTTCAATTTGATTTGGTTCAATTTGATCGGGCTTTTGCATTATTTTTTCTTTACTTTCAGAAATTAATAATTTACTTATAATTATTTTATTTTTTGTGTTCTTATCTTCTTTAATCTTTGATCCGAACACCTGCTTTGCATACATAAGACCGAAAGCTAAGACAATGCAGGGTTACTATGGTTACCGCCAATGCAGCGGCGCTTGTACATGTTTTAAAATTTGGTATTTTTTCTCCACAGGTTATGGGAAGCGATGGGAATAGTGTTGGAGACTGCTAGGTTAAAGGGATAATAACTCTTCATTTCGGCCAAAAAATATTTCCCAATTTTCCCATACTTACCAATGGTTAATAAATCAATTTTTACATTCAAAGTTAGTCCCTGGTTTTTTTTCTAAAAAGTTTGTTTGTTTTTTTTTTTGGTAAAATCTCTTAAGAGATTTTAACAGAGTATAACCATCAATGGAGGTCACGTGGTCTAAAGACAAGCTCAGATATCAGAAAAAAAATAGCTATAGCTGCCATTTTTGTGGTAAAACACTATATATTATATTTCTATAAGTTATTCACGATGTTATTATTGTGAAATATAGATCTCATACGAAGAGTTATTATCCCTTTAACTTTTAGCTTTTCACTTATTCCAGTTATACATGTATTTACGTTTGTTCTATGTTCAATAATGTTTTAATTTCTTAATTTGTTTCGTCCTTTTTGTTGCAGTACACAAATAATTCATGCATGGATTATGCTACAAGTAAAGCGCCGCCTATAGTGATGTCTAAGTTTTATATTTTCCGTATTATTGGAACATGAATTGTTTTTCAACGTTCATTATTAATTGCTCACGTCCTACCAGCAGCTATTTGCGAGAGACACGTTATTTCATCTGAGGATCTGTTCTATTGGATTTATCACTTCGTTTGACTTCATGGCATATTGTCAGATGAAATCTACGGTGATGAGTCTTCGCAGATGTCTCCGTTGCAGGCGGACATCCCGTCTACCTGTACTGCTGTTAATGACTGGGGCATTGATTTACATCTTCCAATTCATGAACGGTTTTGAAAGTAAGCATCATTCGCCATTAAAGGCACAGATTAACGTACAGCTTATTTATAGCCTATTAGATACATACAGCGGAGTCAGGACCATTGAGTTATATTATTATATAGTTACAACATATAAACCATGTTTTTTTAGTTCTTAGACTAAATATAATTTGTAATTTTACTTACGTTTCTGGTAAATTCGCCTTCAACATTCATAGGTCAAAATGTGTTATTTGGCCTTGGAAATGCATTTCTTACTATATATAAAAATGCATTTTCAGGTTTCAATATTGTTCATGTACTGAAGGGCTCATTTTCATATATTTTACCTTGTTACTTTTATATTATTATATCTTTTAATGACAATACAGTCCTGTCGTCAGCAGTGGCGAAAGCTAAAACAAGTTGCAATTTGATGGCTATGAACAGGTCCGATACGTCCGGAGAAATCATCCACAGGGAAAATAAAAAGGGTCCTCCTTTCCAGTTAACAGAAGCAATGGCGGCTATCAGGTCAGACAAGAGTGGTAGCTCCAAATCTCCTACATCAACATCCTGTAAAGAGGAATCGTTATCTTCAGCACAACATGACTTGGGCCAACATCAAAATACGACATCAGACTTTGTCTTGGTGTGGTCGCATTATGCCGCAATTCCACAAACGTTTATGGATAAAATGGAGACCTTACTCCAGTTTAATCCAGGGAAACGCGTTATATTTTTTTGTGGAAGCAGTGGATGTATAGATCAAATAGACGCCAAGGCGTGGAAACACGTAACAGCATTTCGTTTACTGTTGTCTGAGTTAACCCAGGGAACACCACTGGACGATTTTGTCTCTAAATCCGCCTTTCTAAAATTGCTCTTGGGTCGTAAATTTATGGCAGTCGTACACGAAGTAAGTGTTTTACTTGTACTGTGGAGATTTGGTGGACTCCACATAAATTTAATAAGAATGGTGCCGTCAAATTTACCAGATGAATATTTCACAGGGGAATGGGTGTCCACTGAAGGCATCTTTTTCATATCCAGATTTGAACGACATTCGTTGTTCGTCAAAAGTGCTATGGTCGAGATTCAGTCGGCCTACAGCAGTCTCAGTAGAAGTCAAATCCAAAATTGGGACACTGCTTCAGTCTTGATAAAATCAAAGGTTCTAAGCCAGTTAGATGAGAGACAGTTTGAAAAGGATAGTATGGGTTCTGTAATGCCCTTTTTGCAAGATGAACACTTTGGGATCCTAACATTTGACAATCGAGTGAAGGTGGCGAGAGACATCAACGATGAAATTCAAACTCTAGCAGGGCTACAATTCCTTCCCTTTGTTGACCTGTTGGTGGACAGGGATACTTGGAACGTCACCAGTGTAGTAAAGTTAATTCCTCAATCGGAGAATACTGACATATTTTCGGAAGAAAACACTAAAAGGGAAATCCATGGGAAGGCAACAAATTGGTCTTTGTACATGACCCGAAATGCTGGAGGTATTGGCATATCTAAAACAAAAGACACAAAAGATCACCGTAGAAGAGGATTCATTGTTTCCAACAACAACAAAACCAATCATTTCAAAAATGCAATCACAATATTTCTTAATGGATGGTATAACGCCGGCAACATGACGTGGCCACCAAATGTTAATTTAAACCCCTTGATTTTATCGATGCATTTTGGATCGAATTTCTGGGAGAAATTACTAACTGAGCCTGGCAGAAATTACCTTTGGAATCATGGCCCTGTGGGTGCTCGTGATGACGTCACTTTTAATTTCTTAAAATCCCAAAATTCCTCAGTATATAAATCGGGCTGTTTGACACTCTTAATGCACAATCCCAACCCCACCATTAGAAGAGAGGGCATATATGTCATTGATGTGAACAAACGCGCTTTAGAATTGATTGTGCCATATCAAATACAAAAATCAGCGATAGACGTTACCCATTACTTGCCCATTTCGATGAAATTTGATAGATTGACACGCTACGAAGCTGCAAAAAGTTTGATGGAAAGATATTCACGCGCAAAATTAGTTATAACCTCGAGTATCCATTGCGCGCTTCCTTGCGTTGCCATGGGCATTCCAGTAGTTTTTGTAAAAACTGATGTCCTACCTGGAGGTGGAGGGCATCGAACTGAGGGCTTAACAGAACTTTTTCACACAGTTACTGTAGACCTCAGGATGAAAACCTACCGAGGCCTGGACAACTTTAATTGGGACAAACCGGAAATGAACCCAAATAGTGATGTCTACATGCGCTTTCGAGCCACCTTGTGGTACGAGATACGCAAATCTCGCGCATTACGAGAAACGGCAGTAACATTTGGAATCGCACCTTTCAAAACACTCAGGCAGTTTAACAAAAATAAAACAATTGAATCGGTGTTTTATCAAGTATACACAACGAAGAACCAGACAAAGTGGAACCGCCGTTCACTCGAAAGTATATTTTACCACTACCCAAGTACGAAAGTACGCATTTTAAGCAATGTTTTGACACAGAAGGCGTTTTCTGAGTTCAATGAGGCAGGTTTCCAAGTAGAGGTCGAGAACTATTCTCTTGAAAACTTACTTAGGCACATTGAAAAGCTGGAACCAGATACCTTTGCAGGTTGCTCTAAAACGTTTTTGGAAAGAATACCCGTTATTTCAAAAGGACCATATTGGTATTCCAATGAAAGTAACTTGATCAGGTTGCTATTGTTATATCTGTACGGTGGCGTTTACATGGACACTGACGTCATTTTGGTAAAGAGTTTAGAAGCTTTGAATAATGTCACTGCATGGGAAAACAGAGACAACTCCAAGTTAAATAACGCTGTTGTCAAATTTGATAAACACAATCCATTTATCCGTGAGTGTATAAAAGAATACCTCCTTAACTATACTCAGGGTGTTTGGGGGGCAAATGGACCGAAACTTCTCACCCGCGTGGCGAGAAACCATAGCACGTGGATGTGTGACGTCAACAGTTTTGAAGATGTATCGAAAGATAAGTCATGCATAGTCAGACGTTTGTATCGGCAATCGTTTTATCCTATTGAGCCTCGTCATGTTATACAAAAATGTTTCCTTGATAAAGGCAAAGTTAGCGTAGATTCCTTTGCAGTGCATCTATATAACAAACATTCGAAAGCCTACGGGGACGCTACCAAGCCTGGAACGCTCTGCCGTTACCTTCTGAACATGTTTTGCATTTTCTGTGGAGATTTTGTTTAAACCGTGCTTGCATAATTGAAGCAAACTGCAAACTAATGGAGGCCTCCTTTATAAAATCAGCGTGGCATGGTGTTACCTACGGAAATACATATTAATGATAATGGTGTATATAATTTCCAGTTCACGTTTCACATAAAATATAGACTTATTCATGTCTAGATTTGCACAAAAGGTTTAATAAATTCTAGTAGCAATAGAAGCACGCCTATTTTAAGAAGACTGGCTGGATGTCTACATGTTTTCATGAAAATTATTAAAGGTGGTGGAAAATAGAATATATATATATATATATATATATATATATATATATATATATATATATATATATATAATATTTCTTTATTAATTGTGTATTTTCCCCGTGTGTCTACTATGTGGTTGACCTCGTTGCCCTTTATGTTACAAACTGCAACAGTCATAATTAAGCATGTGAGTATTTAATGTCCATTAAAAAAATTATAATCTGCGTATTTTTATATTTCAAGTAAAACTGTTTCAACCTTTGGTCTCTTCGTCTTTGTAAGTTGCAGCTCTTTCTCACTTTAAAACTAAACATCGAAGTATTTTTCTTTCCGGCTATAAAAATGCGAGCATTTATTCGCGAACAACTAAAACACCACTGATTTTAGTGTACAAATGAAAAGTATATTTCGCTTTGATTACATAGATTGCAGTATTTTTTTCTCTTTTTTAAGTTTCACGCTGTAGTATTTTTCTTTTAGACTTTGAGATTATTTTTTCTGGATCAAATGAAACACCATGCATTGGTTTTGACGGGACTGTGAAGTGCTTAAAACTTAAAACATGCAGTACGTTTTCTCTTGAAATACATACAGCATACAGTATGTTTATTTTTCTCTTCATATTTTTGTCTTTAATTTTTTAATCAAAGTTAAATATTATGATTTATTTCCCTTCGAATTCAGTTAAAAAAGTTAAGTACACGTTTGCTAATATATATATATATATATATATATATATATATATATATATATATATATATATATATATATATATATATATATATTTACACATGATCACCTCACAGCTGTATATTGTTAGACGTAGTGTTTTTTATTACAGATACCGTGTCTAACATGATTAATGGTTTAAAAAATACAAAATAGTGATGAAAATATACATATTTTATACCATTAAGTATAATTTGTAAGAGGTACCCCCTCAAATCCACTATTTCACTGTGACTTCTATTTATGTAAAGAAATGTCTATTAAAATGAAAAGACGCCATCAAATGTCACCAAATTCACACACAATTAGCATTAGGGTGTGCTTGTTAAAAATCACGTGCCTAACAGCGTGTGCGTCTACCGCGTACTGCAATTATCTCCTGTAGACGGCGCGACAAGCCTTCAACACGGGTAACAATTCTGTTATGTGGGATATTGTCCCATTCATCGTAAAGAGCGTGGTGGAATTGGCCAAGATTATTTGGGAATCGGTTCTCCTCTGCAATGCACATTCCAATTAATGCCACAGGTGCTCAGTAGGATGAATATCAGGGATCAAAGACGGTTGTCCGATCCTCAGAGCCCTGTGTTTCTGCAACAAATTGCTTGCCAGACGAGAGCTGTGAGCAAGTGTGTTGTCACAATGAAGCCAGTAGCATCCATGAAGTCACCTCTGCAAATGGAGTGAGATTTTTGTTGAGAATGTTACATTAAAATGCCCCTGTTACGTTTTGTTCCAAAAGGAACAATGTACTAATACCATGGGCTTGGAATGTTCTCTAAATGCGGACTGATCTAGCACCTCAGGCAATATTTTCCTACACACACCCTTCAAGAGGCATTTTTTAACATGTCTATGGACCCTCTTTGACCACCGATGGGATACAAGACATAATTTGATTCTGCATCAAAACCGACTTCCTTCCAGTGATGGATGGCCAGGTTCAGGTGCCTGTGGGATCACTGAACGTAGCATTCTCAGCTGATATCTCATTCCATCTTCAGGAACTGACTTTGGGGTTAACTCCAGGCTTTATCATGACTGCACACTTGCTCACACCTGTCGCCTGGCAAGTGTTTGTTGAAGAAACACAATGCTCTAAGGGTGGAACCACCATCTTTCAGCCCTGATATTAAACTTACTAATCAACTGTGACATTAATTGGAGTGTGCAATGCAAAGGAGAACCAACCCCATAAAAACGTGGACCAACAACCCCAACTTCTTTAAGAAGAATTGTTACCTGTGTTGAAGGCTTGTCGCGCCGTCTACAGGAGATCATTGCAGTACGCGGTAGACGCACTCGCTGTTAGGCACGTGACCTTTAACAGGCACACCCTAATTCTCTTGTCTCTGTAAGCTGTGTGGTGACTCCGTCAGGTTTCATTATAGTTTTTTGTGCACTGAGAAATCCTCAGAACATATAACCTTCACAATCAAGGTGTACCTGAATAACGTCTTTTTCAAGCGTCAATGATTATAAATTTATATGCTCACAACTTAGATAATTCCTTTTTTTATTTCCGAAATTTATGTTCGGATAAATATATATATTCATTTATTTATTTATTTTAATTTATTCATTTATTCGTTTGTTTTTTCCTGGGTGAACTATCGGCGTGGTTGTCATTGGTAACAATGTGAATAACGCCGAAATAAACGCCATAGCGTCCCCAGGCTGTGTTTTCAAATTTGGAGATTTTGCACAGTACGTGAAAGTTGCAACATTGGCTCGAAACCGATTCCAAGCAAGTCGTGTTGCTTGAAGTTTCAGTGTCTAGGAATTCTTACATTGTGTTGACACTGGGGTCATATCGTGCCGAATATTGCTTTTGGAGATCTCTTTTTGAAATGGAAGATACTTGATCAAATCACTGCTATAATCTAAACAACGAATGATAATTATATAAAACTGCATGCAGAATCTATAACCATATAGTAAGCAAGGGTATCTACTGTAAATGTAACATGTTTTAAGGTCATGTTTATGTATCTCTTTTTATCGAACAGTTACTTTTCAGTTTTAATTGGTTTCGTACTACCACACACTCTTTATTGTGTATTTTGAAATTGTACTATATATGTTGACCATTTAACATAAAAAATATAACATAAGTAATAAAAAACGGAATGCGATATTCCAGTCTATTCTAGTATACGGTCCGTTTGCGCGAATGTACAATTGAATAAGCACACTGCATGAAAAGTCATATAATGCCACTTTGACCAAGTCAATTGATTGGATGAAATGATAATAATAACCGAATAAATAATACGATAAACAATTAAATAAGTTGATATATATATATATATATATATATATATATATATATATATATATATATATATATATATATATATATATATATATATATATATATATATGTGAAGGGGTGCCTTTTATGAAGGGGTGGCGGAACCCCCTTGTTGAACAAACTGAGCAAAAATTAGCTTTAGAATTTTCTTTATATAAAAAAGTTAGTTGTAGCAGTGGCCGATTTAGTGGGGTGTTGAATTAAAAAAAAACACTAATGGACCCCTCTTGAAATTAAAATTTTGATTAGCTGAATCAAAACCGTACATGCAACAAATGCAACGTTCACCCTCTAAATTACCAGGCCTTTCGGGGCTCGAACCCCACGCCAAGGGGGGAGGGGGTCGACTTCTCAGCCTGGCCCCACCATCAAATAACCCTGCGTAGTTAGTTGGACTAAGATTAAGTCACGCGACTAATACAAAGAACCAGTCTTGATAAACGGTTTGATAGTATTGAAGATATCCAATTAGATATATTAGGTCTGTTATGCATATTTCACTGGAATTTATTAATCATTTTTTTGAAATTTTCAAAAGGTTGGACATCGAGCATCTTTAATTTGTCACATGTAATGTTTATCTTCAGTGTGGTAGAGGAGATATAGACACAATGCAAATCTTAGCATGCATACAGTGGTGGCTCTATTGATAAAAAAGATGTAAGAGGTGTACGCAAAGAGAAATAAAACGGGAGTTTGATAGAGAGGATGTGAACTTCGTCCTTTGTGCGTCCTTTGCGAGACCTTGAAGTTGGCATAGAAAGAAGTGGTAGTAGAAAGAAGGAGTAGAGCCGCATTTTGCAACCGGTTGCAAAATGTGTTGAGTCGCAAAATGCAGCTGTACAGTAATCTTAGGCTCCAGCTCCATTGTATATATATTGCAGGACAGTTTTTTACTATTCGGCCTGCACTCTCAACGGCAGCATCAAAGGCTCCTGATTACAGCGGCAGTAACTCTCACCGACCCTCGTCTCAGCGGTCTACCCAGCAGCCCTAGACCAGTCCTACCCAACTACCAGACTCGGCACCGAATGATCCTGAATTCAAACACCTTGAAAACGGGTAGTGTGGTCTGATCTACCGGCGAATTCAGGATCATTCGGTGCCGAGTCTGGTAGTTGGGTGGGTTTGTAGACGTTAGCGGTCTCTCCAGCAGTGGTTCTCTCACCGGACCTCGTCACAGCAGTCTTCCCAGCAACGGTCTACCCAGCTACCTTCGGCGACAACTGCCTTACCAGCAGCGTTTTTCAATCTGTATCGTTTTATTTTAATCGGATTTTTTTAAATTATTTTTTCTTTGCATTACATTTTATTCATTTCGTTCTTATTTACTTTAAACACCTGCTTTGCATACGTATGACCGAATGCCCGGCAACGTCATGTTTACTATGGTTACCCATCATGCATCGGCTTTTGAACATGATTTAAAATTTGGTATTTTTTTCTCCACAGAACATAGGAAGCGATAGGAATAATGTTTAGAGACAGTCAGGTTAACGTCTAGCTTTTCACTTATTCTAACTATACATGCATTTCAGTTTGATTTCATGTTCAATAAAGTTTCGAATTCTTAATTTGTTTTCGTTCTTTCCGTTGTGGTTCAAATAATAATAATAATGCATGATTTAGACCGCAAGTAAAGATCCATACATCTACAGTTAAAGTCTCCGTTTTACATTTTTCTCATTTTTGGATCATGATATGCTTTTCCAAGGTCATTATTAATTATTCACATCATACCGGTACGTGGCTCATTGAGAAGTTTTTTCTTATCATTGGTTCATGTATTGCCTTCCAACTGTCATTAATCACACCACACCAATAGCTCCTTGCCCAAGACGCGCCATTTAATCTGAGGATCTTTTCTCTTGGATTTACTATTTCGGCTGCCTCAATGGCGTATGGTCAGATGAGATCTACGGTGATCAGTCTACGTAGATGTCTTCGTTGCAGGCGGACAGCCTTTCTACCTGTACTGCTGTTAATGACTGGGGCATTGATTTACATCCTCAAATTCCTGACCAGGTTTGAAAGTAAGTAGTATTCGCCATTAAAGGCATAGAAGAACGTAAAGCTAATTATAGCCTATTAGACACATGCAGAGGAGCAAAGACCATAAAAAAATAGTTGCAGCATATATATAAATCTGATAGATTCGCCTGCATCATTCCATTGCCAGTATGTGTTATTTGGCATATTTGGAAATACTTTTTTATATATAAAAATTACATTTTCGTGTTTCAATATTGTTCATGTATTGAAAGGTACTTTTTCATAAATTTAATATTATATTATTATCTATTTTATTGACAATTCAGTCCTGTCGTCAGCAGTGGCGAAAGGTAACACAAGTGGCAATTTGGTGGCTATGAACGGGCCCATTACGTCCGGAGAAACCATTTACCGGGAGAATAAGAGGAGCCCTCTTTTCCAGTTAACAAAAGCAATGTCGACTGTTAGGCTAGACAATACTGGTAGCTCCAAATCTCCTACAACAACATCGTATAAAAAGGAATCGTTAACTACAGCACAACATGACTTGGGCATACATCAAACTGTGACATCAGATTTTGTCATGGTCTGGTCGCATTATGCCGCAATTCCAGAAACATTTGTGGATAAAATGGATACATTTCTCCAGTCAAACCCGGGAAAACGCGTTGTGTTTCTATGTGGAAGCAGAGGATGTATAGATCAAATAGACGCCAAATCGTGGGAACACGTAACAGTATTTCGTTTACTGTTGTCTGAGTTAACCCAGGGCACACCACTGGGTGATTTTGTCTCTAAATCCGCCTTTCTAAAATTGCTCATGGGTCGTAAATTTATGGCAGTCGTACATGAAATAAGTGTTTTACTTGTACTGTGGAGATTTGGTGGACTTTACATTGATGTAAAAAGATTAGTGCCGTCAAATGTACCAGATGAATATTTCACAGGGGAATGGATGTCCACTGAAGGCATCTTTTTCGTGTCCAGATTTGAACGACATTCGTTGTTCGTCAAAAATGCAATGGTCGAGATCCAGTCGGCCTACAGCAGTCTTAGTAGAAGTCAAATCCAAAATTGGGACACTGCTTCAGTCTTACTAAATTCAAACGTTCTAAGTCAGGTAGATAAGAGACATGCTGAAAGGGACGGTGTAGATTCTGTTATACCTTTTTTGCAAGATGAACTCTTTGGGATCCTAAATTTTGACCATAGAGGGAAGGCAGTGAAATCCATCAACGTTGGCGATGAGATTCAAACGCTAGCAGGACTTCAATTTCTTCCCTTTGTTGACCTCTTTGTGGACAGGGATACTTGGGACGTCACCAGTGTAGTAAAGACATTTGCTCAGTCGGAGAATATTAACAATTTTTGGGAAGAAAACACTAAAAGAGAAAGTCATGGGAAGGCAACAAACTCGTCTTTGTACATGATCCGAAATGCAGCAGGTAATGGCAAATCTAAAACAAGAGATAAAATAGATCAGCTTAGAAGAGGGTCCATTGTTTCCAACGAAACCGATAATCTCAAAAAAGAAATCACAATATTTCTTAATGGATGGTATAACGACCGCAACATGATGTGGCCACCGAAAGTTAATTTAAACCCCTTGATTTTATCGATGCATTTTGGATCGAATTTCTGGAAGAAATTACTAACTGAGCCTGGCAGAAATTACATTCGACATCATGGCCCTGTGGGTGCTCGTGATAAAGGCACTTTTAACTTCTTAAAATCCCAAAATTTTTCAGTATATAAATCGGGCTGTTTGACACTTTTAATGAGCAATCCCAACCCCAACATTAAAAGAGAAGGTATATTTATCGTTGATGTTAACAAACACGCTTTAGAATTGATTGTTCCATATCAAATACGAAAATCAGCGATAAACGTCACCCATACATTGCCCAGTTCGAAGAAATTTGATACATTAAGACGGTACGAAGCTGCAAATAGTTTGATGGAAAGATATTCAGGCGCAAAATTAGTTATAACCTCGAGAATCCATTGCGCACTTCCTTGCGTTGCCATGGGAATTCCAGTAGTTTTTGTAAAAACTAATTTCCTACCTGGAGGTGGTGGACATCGAACTGAGGGCTTAACAGAACTTTTTCACACAGTTACTGTAGACCGTATGATGAAAAGCTACCGAGGCCTGGACAACTTTAATTGGGACAATCCGGAAATGAACCCAAATCGTGATATCTACATGCGCTTTCGAGCCACCTTGTGGTACGAGATACGAAAATTCCGCGCATTACGAGAAACGGCGATAACTTTTGGAATCGCACCCTTCAAAACATTCAGGCAGTTAAACAAAAATGAAAAAACTGAATCGGTATTCTATCAAGTGTACACAACGAATGATCTGAAAAAGTGGAACCGCCGTTCACTCGAGAGCATATTTTACCACCATCCAAACGCGAAAGTACGCATTTTAAGCAATGCTTTGACACAGAAAGCTCTTTCTGAGTTCAATGAAGCAGGTTTCCAAGTAGAGGTCGAGAACTATACTCTCGAAAATTTACTAAGTCGAATTGAAAATCTGGAACCAGACACTTTCGCAGGTCGCTCGACAGCGTTTTTGAAAAGAATACCCGTTATTTCAAAAGGACCAAATTGGTATGCCCATGAAAGTGATTTGATCAGGTTGATATTGTTATATCTGTACGGTGGCGTTTACATGGACACTGACGTTATTTTGGTGAAGAGTTTACATTTTTTGAATAATGTAACTGCCTGGGAAAATAGAGAAAATTCCAAGTTAAATAACGCTGTTCTAAAATTTGATAAACGCAATCCATTTATTCGTGAGTGTATTAAAGAATACCTCCTTAACTATAAACAGAGCGCTTGGGCGGCAAATGGACCGCATCTCCTCACCCGCGTGGCGAGAAACCATAGCACGTGGATGTGTGACGTGAACAAATTTGAAGATGTTTCGAATGATAAGTCATGCATAGTCAGACGTTTGTATCGGCAGTCGTTTTATCCTATTGAGTGGCCTAATGTTACACGAGATTGTTTCCTTGATAAAGGCAAAGTCAGCGTAGATTCCTTTGCTGTGCATCTATATAACAAATTGTCAAAAGCGTATGGGAACGCTACCAAGCCTGGGACGCTCTGCCGTTACCTGCTAAACAATTTTTGCATTTTCTGTGGAGATTTTGTTTAATTCGCCAATAAATGCTTGCATGATAAAAGCAGACTGCAAAATAATGGAGGCTGTGATATTAAATTAGCGTGGTATTACCTACGAAAGTAAATATCATATAAAATATCATATATTGTACATTATTTCCAGTTTACGTTTCACATGGAATATTCACTTATTCAAATAGATTTGAACAGAAGATTTACAATAATAAAACTGTAGTAGTAACAGAAGCAAGCCTGGGTTAGGAAGACAGGCGGAATGTTTACATATTATCATAAAAATTATGAAAGGTGGTAGATTACAGAATGTTTATGATTTGTTTTAATAATTATTATATTAATTGTTTATTGATCCCATGTGCCTACCGAGTGATTGAGTTTGTTAATCTTTATGGTATAAACTGCGACATTTAATGTCAAGCATCGCAATTTTCTGCTTCCAATTTTAAAAGCCTGCGTACTTTATCTTTTAAGTAAAACTGTCATTTTTTTCTCTTCGTATCTGTAAATGGCAGCGTATTGTCACTTTCAAACTACCTTCTGAACAATTTGTGCATGCTCTGTCGAGATGTTGTTTAAACCATCTACACGTCCCAGTATAATGCTTGCAAGATAGATGCAAACGGTAAAATAATGGAGGTCTGTAATATAAAATCAGCGTGGTATAATATACGGAAATAAATATTTATCATGATGGTGTATATCATTTCCTGTTCACGTTTTACTTGAAATATTCATCTTTTCATCTAGATTTGCACACAAAATTTACAACAATAAAATTCTAGTAATAACAGAAGCAGGCCAGGTTTAAGAAGACTGGCGGGATGTCTACAAGTATTCATGAAAATTCTTGAATGTTTACATGCTATTGTAATATTTCTTTAATAAGTGTTAATTGACCCCATGTGTCTACTATGTGATTGACCTCGTTGCTTTTTATGTTATAAATTGTAGTATTCATAGTCAAACATGGCAGTATTTTCCGGTCATTAAAAAAAATCTGCCTAATTTTAGCTTTTATCTTATTTCTTCTGGTGCATGGATACAAGGGATATTGAGTGTGACTTGGGGTGTAACTGTCCCTGAGGGGTGGGGTGATCGCTTGCGTGTCAGACAATGAAGCTGATTCCACTGATTACACTTAATTGAGAGACGCCGCAAAGAGAGTTAGACCAACCCAGCTAGTTCGATGTGTGAATCTGAAGGCAGTCTTCGAGTTTGATAGGACGGGAAAATGCAGAGAAAGCAGCCGACATCACTTAAAAACAGACCTTCAGCCGTATGCTTGAATATAGGTCAAGTTAATTAAAAACCCATTCAAGACCCTATTCTCTTTGGAATCCAAGGGCCCAAGCGATGTTGTTCTTTAACATAAATCAAACATGTTATTTACTATTTTAGGATATTGAATACGCACACCGCATTGTGTGTCAGAAGTTCTTTGTTCGAGACTATCACAATCATAAAAAGTCGTATAATGCTACTGTAACCAAGTCAATTGATTGGGTGTAATAATAATAATAATAATAATAATAATAATAATAATAATAATAACCGACTTAATAAGACGATAAACAATAAAATAAGTTGAAAAATATAAAAAAAGACAATGTAATGTATGTCGTGCATTGGAAAGGGGATTAATTTGTCAGCTGTTCACCTTATAACTCTATTGTTCTTTTCTTTTATAAAGGGGTGGGGGACCCCCCCCCCCCTTGATGAACAAACTGAGGTAAAAATATCTTTAGAATATGTTCGTAACCTCTCTTTATATAAAAAAGTTAGTCGTAGCAGTAGCGGATTTAAGGGGGGGGGGACTTCTCCTTCGATTTCTGAAAACAAATAACACCAATCCTTTCCTCTTGAAATTAAACGTTTGACTAGCTGAAACAAAACCCTACATGCAACGTTCGCCCTCTAAAATACCAAAATTTTGGGGGCCCGAACCCCACGCCAAGCGGGGAGGGGGGGGAGGGTCCACTTTGCATTCCCCCCTTCCCCCTGTCAAAACTACCCTCACACATTCGGACTATAGATACAGGGTGGTGTTGAGTTTTTTTTTAAAANTTTTTTTAATCTGTTGTTTGAATATTTTTACGATTAGTAAGGTTGTAACAACACCACTCCATTTAAAGATGTGCATGTATCGGGTGACAAGCCTGAAAGTAGATTTCCTTCCTTGTTACCAGTTCCAGGCCTTGGTCTTTAACCTCTCATATTAGCAATATCCCATCTCAAACGTAACTTTGGTAACAATTTAAATTAGACTTTTAGAAAATGAAAACTAAATAAAACTCAAGAGTGATATACTCTCTATTGAGAATACAATATAATAGAATGCTCCACAAATTGCTTATTTGTACCCACATAACAGAACATCGTATGTTTCAGTTTCTCTGCATGTATGTGCCAGATGGTCTCTACCGTCGTGAAGAAGCACTTCAGCTTGTTAAGTGCCAGTGTTTCACCGAGGCCAACGAATCCTTCAGTGCACTTATAGGGGATATCCTCAGAGTGGCAGATACTGGAGTGCCAACCCCCCAAAGATTAATGGTCGAATTTTACCATGGTCGAGCCATATGTAGATTTGAATTGGTAAGTTTTTTTTTTCTTGAGGATGCCATTAGTTATGTCTCCTTAATATGTTTTCATTGGCATATCTTAACAATATTGAAATGCATTTGGTTTGGTCATTTGGTTTATTAATGGAATATACCTTATAATATTCACTATAAAATATAGTCATGATTTTATGAAATTGAACCACACCCATTTGATGGAATAAAGTCGCATTTTGTAATCAAATATAATACCGCATTATAAAGCATAAAGTGATAAAAACAAGCGAATAAGCAAGCGTGGGTTACGCTATAAGGATTTTAAACCATACATCAAATTGTGAATAATGTGAATTCACAGGCAAAGTCACGTCTCTCTGTAGAACGGAAGAACATGTAAGTCTGTTTTTTTTTTTCACTAATTATTTGCAACATCAGCTGCAAAACATGCAAATGCATGCATGTTCCATCACTTTCCTATGATTCCATTGATTCGTATTCAGATCTGTTTATTTTTCAGGATTTACTTGTGGAAGCTTTGGGAGATGTGCACGAAGGTAAATCTTTCTGTCTCTTTGTCTTTTTCTTTCTGTCTCTCTCTCTTTCCCCTCTCTCTCCCTCTTTCTCTCTCTCTCTGCGCCCATACCATCTCGTTCAAAACGATAACAATACTGTGTATATAATTATAAACCTGTTCACTATTTTACAATGGAAATGCCCTTCTACTTACTGACCGTACTGGGCGCTGATTTGGTTTTATATAGTGCACAAGTAATTGAGAGTGAGAGGAGTGCAACTGTGCATCTTTAAAAAATCATTTCCAATTCGATGTTTGGGCTACACGCCAAATTAGGGGGCGGGGTCACCCTATAAGTCGCCTGGTTTTAGAAAGTACCAATATTAATTGTTACAATGTGGCAAATTAGAAAAAAAAAGATTCACAGTGTGCATTTAATATTTATTTCTATTGTTGAAATGACTTTTGCAAATTTCTGAAAGTGAGATCTGACTACCCGCACGAAAATGCAGTAGTATCGAAGTAGCAAAGAAACATTAACACAGTGGTGGTGTGGAGTATATTTACAGTAGAAATGCAGCGTAGCCTACTGCAATTCTACTCTAAAAAGTACATAGGTTTGTACAGAGAGGAGCATTAATGCAGTAAATTAGCAGCATGAAAGAAACATATGTTTCAAATATGCTAATTAGCTCCCAAATCGAAGCAGATTTGAAGCATGTTTGCAGTTTGATTGTAGTAGTCTACTGCGGTTTGCAGTATGATTGCAGTAGTCTACTGCGCTGGAGTATATACTGCGTTTTCTTGCGGGTATACTGAAATATGAGACTATTTCTCTGGATGGCAGAACTGTACAATAAATTTTATATTTTATTTCATTTGATATGAACCTTGATACGTAAGGCTTGAGAACACTGAATTCTTGCATTTATTGAAACCCTGTATTTAACACCTTAGCACTAAGATGGGAAAAACCAGCTAGGATATTATCTTTACCTCCTGAAATTCCTCTTATTCGGGATGCCACCATACGAAGATTACTAGAACAACTGCCGTATTGGAGACCGGTATGTAAATTCCTTTAATACCCTAGTCACACTAGAGGGAGAATGAGCTAGAATGCCTCCTTAATGGAAATTCTTTGTAAATTCTTGGATATTCGAAGTGCGTTCTAAAAATTCTGAGTGCTTTCGGAATATATGGGCCCATTCTTGTTTCCCGTACGAATGTTTTACTGATGCTCACAACTTTCAAAGTGCATCCCAAGTGGAGTAATATCGAATGGCATTCGAAGTGTATTATAAGCGCATCATGAGTGCATTCGTAATATTTTTACGGTATTACAAAATTATTCGAAATATTTTGACTGCATTCGAGGGAGGACCGAAATGGCAAGACGCTTCAAATCTTGTCAGAATGTTTGGCATACGTGCCTCAAATGAGCCGGTGCAACTCAAATGTATCTCGATGGTTGCCGAAATCCTATTTCGGCCAGCAATCGAACCACACTTGTCCGGTATTCAAAGTGCATTCTAAATATTTCGACTGCCTTCTGACAGCATTGTCTATATTCCTAATGCTTTCCAACTACATTCGAGCTGCATGTGGGAGCTAAGAAACCTGAAATGTGCACGAATCATTCCAGGCGTGTTCAAAGTGCATTGCAAGTATTCCATCGGCATTCTTACAATATTCTTACTTCCTCCCGAATGTGACGCGAATTTCAAAAATTCTTCATTCCGGCTCATTCTTCTTGATTACTGCTGATTTCGAATAAGTGTGACAGGGGCTTAACATAATGGCAGGCACCAACACAAGGTTGACAGACCGACGCAGGAAGCGGATTTTATATTTAAATTGTGTGTGTGTGTAGGAGGGGGGGGGGGGGGGGGTGCATCAAGAAAGAAAACAAAAGTGGGGTTAGGGAGGAGATAGCAGCACAAATTGAGTATTTAAAATTGTAACCGATGCTGAGTGGGTTCTTGGTGCGATAAAAATAGTTGCATGGCTTATTCAATTAAGTCATGGTTTGATCACGATTTGATTGTGATAAGTGGACTTGATGAGTACAGAATCCCTTAGTGTTGCTCATCGGTTAGGACTGACATGGTCGACTAATGCATTGAAGTAATCGATGTTGAACAGGTTCATATTGGAATTTGCTCCTGTTATTGCTGACATAATAAAAAAAAAATAATAATAATATCACAGACAGACATACATGAATAAATAAATAAATGTAATCAAATGGAAAATTATATGTTATCTTACAGCGTATTCCTGAGTTGATAAAGAAACTGCATAGCTTTGGAGACGATAGTTTTCAGCAAAAAGAGTTTGTGCATGCTTTGCTGTGCTACCGTGACGTCCTTATACTATCTGGCGTCGTCCGTGAGTGTCAGATAATGAATAAACAAACTACTGCTCGACTGCTTCTAGGGTATTCTGAATGTTGTCTTGAAATAGCTAAAACGGACATGGACGTTCTAAATCAGGTAAGGTTACATACTGTGCATTGTATTTTATTTTTAAAATGATCGAATTGTACATTTTTGTCTTTGGTTGAACGATTCTGTATTTTATGCATCTTCGATGCAGAAAATGGAACATGAATAACAAGATTAAAATATGTATATTTTTCTTTGACGCAGATGTTTGCAAAACTATGTGGAGACCATTGCCAAAAAGGTAAGTTGTTTAAATTTACTAAATTAAGTAATCGTGTGTCCTTCTACCAAAAATGGTGATGAATAAAATTCCCCCTTTTTTGATTTTGCAAAGGAGTAACTCGTCAAGTACTAATGAAACCGTGAGAACTGAATTTATGTGGTGCTAAGCATTCAGTAATGAGCTCCGTTTTCAGCGCTTGGTCTTATCGAAAGTGAACAAAATGAAGACGAATGTCGTGCACTGTGTGCAAAGGCGTACGATTTGAAGTCGAGGGCCTTCCATAACCAGGGATACATTAAAAAGGCCATCGAAATGGCAGAGGAGGCAAACAGCATCTTTTCCAGTGTAAGTCCACTTATAATGAATATTTGTTGATTAAAAACTATGCTATCACACAAATTAATCACCTTAAGGAGTAGACATTCAGTATCTTAAAAAATGCATGACGTAGACTATAGACTTAAACATTGGGGCATTAATCTCCCAATTGGAAACGACATTAAGCTTGCGGTCGGTTAATTTTAATTGATGACAGGTTTGTTTAATAATTTTATTCAGGATAGAAATAATATTTGGAGTGGAGCCCAACCAGGTTTTACCAGTTTATGTGCATTGTGTCCAAGATACTTAAATTTATTTTAAATAATGGCCATTAGTGATTTTTTTTTTCAAAACAATCAAGGTGACATTACCATTTCTCGCTGCATTTAAATTATTCATGTAATGACTTTATTGGTTGTGGCGTGTGCATATTTTATGTCATTTACAGGAAACCAGAGAAAAACAGATACGAATATTGAAAAGAATGCAGGGTGAAATCGAGGCCAAAGAAAGGAGGGAGTCACCCAAATACGACCCAGATTGGATAGCGGGACTTGTGCCAGTTCGTAGCAAAATATTTCCCTGTTAAATTTGACTTAATTTTTTTATTTTAACAGTCATGCATGATTTGACATTTAAATGATACACCATACGTTTTTTTCACATGTTGTTAACTACACAAAGTGCCTGCCAATGCTGATATTTTTTTCAAATAATCATCCTGCTTTACAGGCTTCAAGCGGAAGAGTGGAAAAATTTGCTTATACAAGTAAGTGGTGGATTTTGGGATATGACTCAAAACAGTTGAAGAGTTGAATAAACGCATATTGTTATGTATTCAAACACCGTGAACAAATCGAATATGTGCCGAAATGGTACTAAGTGACATAAGTAACAAGTATATAGATAAATTACATTTTTGTATGCCGTTTAACAAGCAGCGTTTTACTTACCAGATGTGTTTATTTATAATGTCTTTCCTAGTCGGATTAGTGTATTGTTTTGGAAAATTGCTGTTAAAATGTATGTAAATTTACTTTTGGTTCAAAATGTGTATTTGTTGATTTTAGCAAGGCAAAGTTTTGGCGATTTGAAATAAAACAACGTATGTCACAAAAATGTTCCAAGAAAATATTGAAATTGTTTGGCCATCATTACATATTTTCAGCCAAACTTTTGTTTCACATTAAGGAACCACTATATTCTAATCTTGAAAAAAAAGGTTAAGAAATGCGTTTTCTGTATAGATTAATTTGCATTTACAATATTTGTCAAAGAGTTCCCGTTTAGGGAACATTTGCCAATTATGATATATCCATCATCGGTTCTATGGAATATGTTTGTATCTGACACTGTTTCAGAGAAATCGACAAAATCAAATAAGACAACGACTACACATGATAGAAGAAACAGGCAGGCGACCACCGCTAGTAACATCATGGTAAGACTCACACTTGCTTTACAGGCTTGACATCTAACGTGGAGTATTTCACTTTCAAATGTATGCCCGGGTAAAAACGTGTTCCTTTTTTTCAAAATGCTCAGATCTCAACCTCGTAGGGACCATATATTGCTGATCTAAAAACCTCCAATGGGCCCAGTTAATGTGCACAGGTGCCTTTAGAAAGTTGGATTACGAAAAATGCAGAAATATAAACTCCGCAATACCGGGATATATATATATATATATATATATATATATATATATATATATATATATATATATATATATTTTACATTGTTTTCATGAAGAAGTATTCAGAGAGTAGCAAAACTGCCATGCCTTTACTGTATTTAAATAAATATCCACGTTAACATAGCACAAAATATTTTTTTCTCTACGGAGGTTGGGTAAAATCTAAATCATTATAATAATACAGTTACAGTTTGTTACAGTGTATACACGTCTGTGCGCACTTTAAATCTGTTGTTAATTAAAATGATTAGGGTTATGGTGATCAGCGTACCTGTACGCAACATTTGAGCTTTGCAGAAAAAACACTCTCTCTCATACTATTTACTGTTGAATAAATAAAGAGTGAGGGATTCTTTCCAGGCTGCCACTGAAACTGGTCGAAGATTCCCAGAAACAATAGCATCAATAGAAATGGATCTTGGTCAGCCAATGACAGAAGAGGATCTGGCGGATTTACGGCGACTTTTTTATGAAAAAACACGTGCGTTAACGTTATCCGTCATGGGACAAACATTGACGTTTCGAAACAAAAAATAAAAAAAAAATCAAACTGAATTGAATATAAAGCTGCCATCACAGGAAAGACTTGTGCAAATTTTGCTTGATTTTTTTTTTTTATTTGACACCAGTCTGTTTGACAATTAAGCCACCAATCCTCTTTTAGGGAATGATCAATGTGTGATATATTATATGGTAATATAAATTATGGTATGCAAAGTTGGCTAAATTATCTATTCTACTCTAGGCGTTGGATTTTCATTTGTAGTGACATGAAAATGAATATATTAAATTCGTAATTGGTACATCATAAAAGACCTAGCCCCGTGTCAATAAATACTTTGTTACCTCATTAAGCACAAACTTACCGTTTTCTTGTACAACACACACAATGAACAATAGAAGTGTCACCCCCTGAATCAGTGTATTCAAATAATAATCAGGTAATCAATAATCAAAGTAGGCAGATCTTGAGTAGTTATTATACCTTGTCTACATTTTTTTTTTTTTCTGAAATTCGATGTTAATGAAATGATAATAGGAGCATATCATTCCACAGTCATTTAACTCTCCCAAAGTATTGGTTCAGTAGGGTGAGACTTCTATTGTTCATTGTGTTTATATAGCATTCGCAGTTGATATTTACACCTAATTGACCAGTACATTTTATTTTCCAGGCAAACAATTTCCGTCGAGAGTTCCTGAGCAATCGACTGGAGCAACCCAAAATGAAAAGGCTGCTTGTACGCCAACCACTGCGGTGGTTGAGTACGAGCCTTTGGAAGAATCGATGATCCATGTGGCGCCACCTGTGTTCCCGGATGAAGAAGAGGAGAAAAACACGCTGGATCAGGAAGTCATGGAGACGGATTTTAACGATGCTCTGTATGAAGACCCATTTTCAGAATCTTTTGAAAATGATGATTTTGGCGACCATGGCAATTTATATGATTTTCACTCAAAGTTCATGCTGGAGAAAAAATTACGTGAGGATCCTTCAAAATATAAACTCTGCACCCTTTACATAGAAACCAACCAGAAAGCTCATGCAATCCCGATAGGCACAAATGAACAAATACCGCGTATTGAACTCTACGGCAGAATACGTTCTGGACTTGCTTTTAATGAATCGATTGTTGTCGTTGAAGTGTTTAACCCACCTGAAAATGATCCGATACCAAGCCATACATACAGAGGCAAAGTAATTGGTGTATGGCTCGAACCCCGTGTCAAAAAGTTCTCTCGATTTGCATGTACCATTGACGACTACCGCAGTAACCTTGCAAAGCCAATATGCCGGACAGCTCCCAAGATCGAGCTCCTTGGATTTCCTGACAACGTGCGAGAAAAAGATGAAGCAGATGTTCCCATATACTCTGTAGAATATGACGGCCAATTGAAATATAAAAAGAAGATGAAAATAGAGGCCAAATACAAAGATGACATCATACTCTTGGTAAGATACCTGAAATGGAAGCCCTTCCGTGTTTTTCCTCTTGGAGTTGCTGTTGGTGTCTTGAAGGGTAGCGCATCACTAGAGCGAGAAATGAGGCTACTCATGATTCAACACGACCTTGTCAAAACGTTCCCAACACATGTTGCTGATCGAGTAAAGGCTTTGTCCAAAAAACACAAAAAAATCCCCGTGCATGAGTTTAAAAAACGATTGGACTACAGGGGCGTAGTGACCCTTACAATTGACCCCGCAGATACACGAGACATCGACGACGCTTTGAGCGTTGAAGATATTGGGGACTACCGCACCCGTATCGGGGTTCACATTGCTGACGTCACGCATTTTGTTAAGAAGGATGACTTTATCGACAAAGAGGCCCGAGCACGAGGTGTCAGCTTTTATCCTCCCAGTGATCAACCACGCATATTCATGCTACCGGATGAACTCACAACATCCATGTGTAGTCTCGTCGAGGGGGAGGACAGGCTGGCACTTTCAGTATTCTTCGATTTTGATCAAAATGGAAACATGCTTTCCGAACCTACCATTAAGAGAACAGTAGTGAAATCAAAACAGAAATTATCCTATGAAGAAGCAGAGATGATACTGTGCGGGACAGGACTTGAAAATGAAATAAGCAACGCTTTAAAACAATTACATCACATCGCAAGTAAATGTCGCGCCCAGCGATTGAAAGAGGGGTCTGCTTTTAACCAGTTTCAGGACAACGGTGCCCCTATGGCTCACGTGACTGTGGAAGAATTCATGATCTTGGCTAACGTGACCATAGGTCGATCCCTTGGCGAATCATTTCAGCATGTTCTTCTAAGGGTGCAAGATCCTCCTATGGATTTAGCTTTGCAAATGTGGCAAAAGGAGTTTAACCAAGTAGCCAAGCACTCCGCTGCATTGAAGAAATACCGACTGAAATATGGTGCAAATGCACCATCTGGGTTAAAGCAGGTCCAACAGCAGGGGCAGTTGGGTACACTGTATGTGAGGGAAGCAGTGTGGAAGAAAGCACTTGAGGTTTCCAGGAAGGGTGCTGGACAGGAACTTTTGGACATATTTTCCAGAGAACATCACGTTCCATTAATATACAGTGCACACTGGAAAATTAACGAACTCCAACGACCGGCCCGAATGGCGGCTTGCAGTTCCACCGCCATCCCGTCCCAGGATAAAGGGCACCACGGACTGAACATGACGGACTACACTTGGTTTACGTCTCCGATACGAAGATACGTGGACATCGTGGTCCACCGGTTTGTTCACGCCATGCTTGACAAATCAGTTGACACTCCACCGTATTCACAAAAGGAATTAGAAGACATTTGCAAGGAGATGAATGCGCTCCACAGGAAAGCCAAGAAGTTCCACGGCGCGTGTGAACTCATACAATTCTGCCTCCAGTTGAAAGAGAACAAGACGAGCACCATACTTCCAGTAGTTACTGCATTGGACGATTCCTTTATACAACTATGCCTACCGTGTTGTAAAGACATCCCCTCGAGGCATCTCAGACTGCGCTTTGGGTCTATGGGCCTGAACCAGAGACCCAGTTTAGACAAAGGCACGGGTGCAGTTTTTCAGTTTTGTCCTCTCAGATGGAAGAAGAGGTTATATGACAGGGTGGCAGTTCCAAAACCCCCGGGAGGGAAAAGACAAAAACAACGCGCCCAGGATTGGCATGATGTTAACCCAAATCAGTTCCTGACACCAATGCCTGTAGGTGTGTGGGACGGCATCATTGAGGCTGTTAGCCAACAAAATGCCCAGGCTCTTTCGACATTGATCAAGATGAAACACAAAACTATAGCTAACATGGCTCAAAGGGAAAACGAACTTTTCAGTGCCAACATAAACACCGATGCCTATCGCAAGAGTGACGGGACTATCGCAAATAAGGAATCTAAGTTCCAGCTAAAAGTTACCCTTGGGACAGTTGTCCGAGTTCTAGCTCAGGCTAAGTTCCATAGAGGATCTCTTTGTCCCAGGCTGTCTCTAATGAGCCTGTCGCCCAATGTGCACATCTGCTTAAAACACCACGACGACCCTGTGGCCTGTTTTTGTGACATTTCCCCAGTAAAACCTTTAGATGAGACATATACAGACGAGAAGACCTATCAGTCGACTCTAATCCCTCTACTGCAGATAGAGGGCGCACAAGCGGCTGTCATAGACGAAGTTTCTTTGACCGTCAGTAACGTGAGAGTGTCGTGGATGAAGAAAAATGCGAACTGGTATGGGAGCGTAGTGCTAGGAGACACCTTCTGCGAAGACCGGGGTATCAGGCTCTCCTCCAGCCAGGAAGATGACGGTGATGCAGCTGCTAACCCTGATAGAATAGTAGACACCGGCGAGTACAGAGGGTATGTGTGCATTGTATACCGCAACCTTCCGCCTGACTCCCAATGCGTCAGTGACAGTGGTGCTACTGGCGATTGCCCCATTGACCATCAGTCTACTCATAGCGAGCCATCATCTAGAAGCATCTGTTTGCCGCAGTACAACTCAGACGCAGAGTCCACGTGGTTGGGACACGGTCTGATTGTGCATGTTAGACGCAGGGACAAGAGGGTGGTTTTTAAACTCCTTGATGGCATCATTCCGGAGACGATCGAGTCCAAAAGCAATCCGAAATTAGCCACAGTAGAATTCCTGGACAGAATAATGCCGTCCATGTATGTATTGCCATCACTAAATAATTTTATATTTTTTTCATAGAAGCAAATTTTTCAATTTTTACAGTTTTCAATGAATTTTGTGCCGCGTGGCATATTGTGTTACTTATTCAGTGCGTGGTGTTTAACCGCGTAGCTAAACATTATTTGCGAAATGACTATGTAGTTTGGCACAGGAACTGAACATACCTTTTGAGCCCTCAGTCGAAATAAAAATTAGTTTATTCTGTGTATTTTGCCGTATGTAAAGTTCTAAATTTTGAACTGTGGGATAGCAAATGGCACAAAGCTTCACTGCACGGATACTTAATTTACAGATACAGTAATTTTAAAATCACTTATTCTTAAAATCATCCTTACTGAGTTTTTGCAACAAAACATACATATATGCACCCACGTATGCACGCACGCACACACACGCACGTACACACATACACACATACGGGTACATGCATGCATGCATACATACATACATACTGTTTCATTTTGTGACATTGGCTTTGACCATTAATTGTGTCTCTGTAATCCCATCCTTTTTAAAAGACGAATGGAAAATGCGGTGCGCAGTCTTGGTGAAGCAACCATTTTGGCCAGAAATATTGCTTTGGGTAAAGCCGACCTTAGAGATGTGATTAACGATAGAGGTAAGCTAAAGTTTACCGCCTTATTATACCCGTGGCTTTATATGCCCAAATTGTATGGCTCAAGGTAATATAAATGTCTTTATCTTTACAACGGGTAAAATGTAAAATGTATAGATACAACTTTTGTTTAAGTCATTTAAAATCCCAAAATGATTGAAGTTTTTAACTATATCTAAAAAAAAAAAAAAAAAAAAAAAAAAAAAAAAAAAAAAGCATCAAAGATTCTACATTTAAATATACTCAGTAACAATTCTTAAAATATGTTTCTGAAAAAAATGTCGAATTATACCCATTGAAAAGACCGAATCATTAGAGTTATGTTGTCAGATACCGCCATCAAGCTGTCTAGATGGAATTCAAACTTTCAAAACTAAAAGATAGGAGAAAGTTTTTTTTTTTTTTTTTTACTAATCTGGGAGAGTTCCAAAAAATTACATTAATATCAATGAATGATAGGCAAATGAAACGAAATACTTTAAAGGTGGGTAGAATTGTTGCATTTGTCATTGACTTGAGAAGTGGGTGTTTTCGTGGATTTAAAACGCGTACAAGTACTGTCTTCTTCATTAATGTCACTGGTGTAGGGGATTTATGCGCATTTTTGACGTTAAATTGTTAACGCACATGTTTGTCTGTAGTGCGATACTTATATTATTATTATTATTATCATTATTATTATTATTATTATTGTTGTTGTTGTTGTTTTTTTTAAAGACTGGAAAGATGTAGAGGCATTTTTCTACCTCCACGAGGAAGACCCAAAGAAGAGGATGGAGAGGGAAAGGAAAAAAAGAAGAGAGCCGTCTCGCGTGAAACCTGAAGACCTTCTTGACAGAAGAACTAGATATTCTAAAGGGCGTTATTTGGAGAATTATCTTCCGAGAGCCAATAAGAGACAAAGGGAAGCGGTGATATCTGCCATAATGAAGCCATTCTCACTGATTCAGGGACCACCAGGTATATAAACACGATATTTTGTCCAACTTTCTCTGATTCAAATCCTTTTATGATTCTCTCGGTATTTGTACTTTAAGACATTTTAATACAGCCATAAATGGTTTTATTCAAGCCTTGAATTAAGTTAAGAATTGGTAAATAAAACTAGATATATGTCTGTTTTTATTTTCTACATTTATTCTGTGGTAGATTGATTCGCTTGCACTCAACGCGATCTATATCAGAAGCAAAAAAAAAAAAAAAATTATATATACATGTAGTACACGAAGACATTTCATTGAAAAAAAAGGAATACCATCAATATATACTATACCGAAATATGGAATTTTCCTTGTCAGTCTTTTTATTATTATAATTATTATTATTATTTTTTTAAAGATACATGTATGCCTTACAGTTTCTATAAAAAATAATATTTTAATTCCTCTCACCAACCAATGCCAATTCTTGTATCCAGGCACAGGCAAAACGCTTACAGGTATCCGTCTGGCCTACTTATTCGTAGAATGGAATCGCAGAAACTCCCCAGAAGAAAGAAAACATGTGCTGTATTGTGGACCGTCTAACAAATCAGTTGATGTGGTTGCAGGTAGGGAAAAATCACGTAAAGAAGGATGAGGATTGCATGAATGGCGACAAGATGTTTGTTGTCCATGCAGTCCGTTAAATGAGCAACCAGCAGCAGCCGCAGTGTTGGTTTAAATTAGCAGTTAAGCCCTAGTTTTATACAGACGCTGTGTCTTTTTGATAGAAAGGCTTCAAAACGGATAAATTGTAGGCAAGTTAAGAAAAGCAATATATATATATATATATATCTTATTAAAAATAACACTTATTTTAATGTCTTTTTATAGATTTCTTCAAAAAGAAATTTACCCCACAACAATATGACCCAAACGACGAACGACCCAGCATCTGCCCAAAAATCCTTCGAGTATACGGGAAGAGCTTGGTTAATCGCGACTTTCCTATTCCCAAAGAACCGGATCTACTGCGAGGAAAGGATGCCGTTTCTACTGAAAGACACAAGGATATCGCCCTACACCATTTAATTCGTTCCAAGGGAACTAAAATATCTAAAGACATTTTAGAACTGGATGCCAAATTTAAATCTTATTTCAAAGACCCTGTAAAGAATGACGTTTCTCTTGAAATAATAAACCACTACAAACGGCTCGTGGCGCAAGCAGAAGAGGATGAAATAAAGCAACATGACGTCATTCTATGCACGTGCACCACGGCCGGAAGTAAAGCCGTTCTAAGATCAGGGATCATAGAGCAAAGCATTGTGGATGAAAGCGGCATGTGTGTTGAGCCTGATTGTCTCGTACCCATCGTGCACTCAAAAGCCAAGCAAATCGTGCTTATTGGAGACCACAAGCAACTAAGACCGATAGTATTAAATCAGCTTGCGCGGGACATGGGATTGGAAAGGTCTTTGTTTGAGAGATATGCTACGCAGTTTCCTAAGCAAACAATCATGCTGAACAAACAGTACAGAATGGTACGTACGCAAATGTCGTGACGATTTTTTTTTTTGCCATCGTTTCAAAGAGCATGCAAAGCCATGGATTTTTTTGCAGGGTCTATTCCTTAAAAGTCGCCCATCATTAAGATATGAATTCATAGTTATGGTGCTCTCGATTTCCATTTATTTATTTATCAGTCTTCTGGTTGACAGCTGACGATCATCAGACTCAAAAAGTAAATTTAGTAAAAAAGGTGTATAGTGAATTATTGTCGTATATATTTATTCATTTAGCATCCAGATATATGCGACTTTCCGTCGAGTGAATTTTACGATGGCCAACTGTATAGTCCGCCTGTGCTGAGGTTTGCCAGTGACCCGATGTTCAGGGATTTCACCCCAGCAGCCGAGGTTCTTTGGCCTAGAATAAGACAAGGTCCAATGCTGATAGAAGACAAACGCTTCGTGATGTGCCACGTAGAGGGCGAGGAGGAGAGCCTGGTTATTTCGACACCAGAGGGCGGAGAAATGTCCAAGAAAAATAAGGCTGAGATACAGGAAGTTGTTAGTATTTTTTTCCATTATTCTTATTTACGCCATTTCATTATACAGTATGTCTGATACATATTATTATATATTTGTCGGCAAAAGTATACATTCTCCATTCAAAATTAATTTCATGAGAATAACTTTCTTTGAGGAGAAGGGCAATACAAAATATGCCATTTTCAATAATTTCGATATAGGCCTACATTTTTTCTATAACTTTGCGTTCGGTTTGCTGTCTTCATATTTCTACTCAATTCGCTGTGCAAGTATTCTGGTGCAGCTCGCCCCAGTAATTGATATATGGTTACTTTAACCTTACAAAAAGAAAGTACACGGTAATGTTCCCTCGGTGCATTTGTGAGTGGGGCAGCAGGGAGATTGGAATAACCTCATTTTCTATGGTAATCGTAACCAGTCGGGTCGTTGACATTAATTGCACTGTATAATATTGACCCATCTTGACTGAGGACATTTAAGTGCATTCAACGTTTGAATATATCCATTTCTATACTTCAAAAGGAACGCATCTACAGCATCTTGGTGAGCAAGACATCCCTGAACTTATCCAAAGCGAACATCATGGTACTGTCTCAATACAGGGCGCAAGTCAACGGGATCGAGAAGGCGCTAAAAGAACGACATGGCGAGGGGGTTCAAGTGAGCACAGTGGTGGCTAGTCAGGGTAAGTCCATGTCCAATAATAAATGAATAAATAAATAAAATAAAAATAAAATAAAAAATAATTAAAAAAAAACTTATATCAGGTTCCCTGGCTAAGAACTCCATGACCAACGTTTTATTGTCACATACACACCTATTCCTTAGCAAAATATCAGGCTGCATTATTGTTTCTTGCAATTTTGCAGTACGTGTGAGGCAATATAGCTGTAAATTAGTAGCAGTATATTTTTCTTGCAAACTCCTGCAATCTCGTTTCTGCGAACTTTTAGTAGGGGTTAATATATGGGGCTTATGTCAACCACAAAAAGGAATGGGAGGCAGATTTATTAAGGTCCCTAGCGGACTATCATTCCTGTCACACTGGCATTGACACCAGAAAAAGCACTCCACCAGACTAATATTAGACATCAGTGCGCTTTTATAGGTTCTAGATCCATGTACATGTACAATGTGTTAATGATTTTTCATTTGCGATCATCTTTACTAATATGGTTTCAGAGCTCTGATCTGTTTTTTTTTTTTTTTTTTTTTTTTTTTTTTTTTGTTGGTTTTTTGTGTGTGTGTGTGTGTGTGTGTGTGTGTGTGTAATTATCAACGGCAAAGCTTCAGAATGTACGGCCCTGACTCCAGAACTAGCACCCCGTCACCAATATTAGGGACCATTCCTAGACCCCATCGTACTAATTGTGGATCGATCTATCTTCGAGGCGATTCTTGCTAAACTGCAATCAACTTGATCGTTTGGGGCTGCTAGGGGGTAATTAATGTTTAGTAGCTTTAGTAGGCCTGCCAGACAGATAAGCCGCTTAAGCTGAAACGATTAAGCAAGAAACCCCTCGGAGGTGGATCGATCCTGTTAGATCGACCTAGGTTTGGGAATCCAGTCTTAGGTATCAGTGCGCGTTTAAAAGCAATGTGGATCCTTGGCAACATTAGCTGACTGCAAACGTGATCATTGACTTTTTGAAATCCCTATATTCATGCACAATGAGTTCGTAATTCTTATTTCACCAGGTGGAGAATGGGACATCGTCATTTTCAGTACCGTCCGCTCCATCCCAGAGTATCAGATTGTACAAAGGCCGACCAAGGGCTGGTGTAAAGTCAACCTTGGCTTTATAACAGATGACCATCAGATTAACGTGGCACTTACTCGCCCCAGAAGGTTCCTGATTATCATTGGTAATTACGAGACCCCGGTGCTCCTTACCAATTACATTTGGAAATTTGATGAGATTAAACAAACTGAAAAATGATTTATGTTAACATGTATAAGACAAATAGACAAATAGAATCACAAGAATCTTTTAAAAAGGAATTAAAAACTCATATTTTTAAGACATTTTATTCATGAATCTTAAATTTTACAATTTTAAAGAAACCTTGGATTTTTTACTTTTAATTACTGTTTATTACAATTAAGTTAGTTTAGCTCTTATTTATATAAAATATATCTTAACCATTTTTATCTATAAACTTCTTTGTATTTTATGTTGTACAGTCTATTGAACATTTTATGGATTTTAGACTTGAAATAAATATATTATTATTATTATTATTATTATTATTATATTATTATTATTATTATATTTTTTATGACAATTTTGTTAATGCATTTTTTCTTACTGTATTTGGCGGGTACTGTTGGATAACACCGTAAACCAGAAGTGAGGTAAAGTTCACTGAAACGAACATCATAGTTTGATATGATAGTTCCATGATAGTTCCATATACAAATCGAAGGACTATTTGCTGAAATATGTCTCTCTAGGAACCCTGGTTGAGGTTGCCACTTAGAAAAACCAACTGGTTCTGGGCACCGGAATAAAATGCTCTCCAAACAGAGACGTTACCACCCCCTGCTTGCAGAGAGAGAAAATGAGGGAGAAAATAAATATTTTGTAGAAAATTTACTCGCCAAAAATAATATTCCATATAAAGTAGTAACCGTGTATATATATATATATATATATATATATATATATATATATATATATATATATATATAAAGCACTTCCAGTGAGGACATAATCAGCGCAAAGAGATATGAATATACATGTATGATGACGGGAATTCCTTGTTGTTATATTATGTCTGATTTTAATTTCAGGGAACAAGCAGCTACTTAAATGTGATCCCACTTTTAAAAAACTGATAGCACATTATGAAGAAAACGGGAGAGTCAAAGATGCTGGCGAATTTCTTCCAAGGGGCATTAAAGGTATGAAATAAACGAAATTATTGTATGCATTTGTAGGTAAGTGTGAAAAGCAATTCATGTTGGATGTATTTGTAGCATTTTTTCTGATCGCTTTCCTAAAACGTGTTCGATACTGCATGTATTGAACCGTTTTTTTTCCTCTCTCTCTTTGATTTCAGTGAGGTTTATATTATTATTTTAAAGCACTAATTCCTTTTGACGTGCAGTCTAAGCTTTTTTTTTTTCTTTTTGTCACAAACATTTTTTCTCTTTAACAAATTATACAAAAAAATATCTGAATTTATTGTTTCAAAAGCCAAACTTTGTTTGAAGAATATGATTCTAAATCACTTGTACCTACGGCCCGTATTCATTTGATGTAATGCGTTATACCTTATGCTCTAGGAACACCATTTTACAAGAAATTGCCTCCGAGGTTGCAAAGGAAGCTTGACGCTGGGGAGTATTATCAAGAAGAAAGACAACGCTCAGACGATGGAGATAACGAAGTAAAATTTGAGGATGAAGAGGGGCTTTGAAAGACACTTTCTAACGTGTGGCTTCCAAAGTGTAATTTTTACGGCTTCTGGGCTGGTACCTTTCTTATGATCATGGTGTTTGAAATAGTATAACGATCTACGAGTACAAAAAAAGCGCAGGAAGTTTGGTAATTGACGTTTAGATTGACGCGAAACGACACCTGTTAAGTATCACATTTTTACACCTTATTCTGATGATACAGTGTTATACTGGGAAAAAGAATGAGGGTTTTGCACGGTCGTTTCATAATAGTAAGTCACGTCAGCCCATGCAGGATGTGATCAGATTACTAAGGCGTTCTCATTCATATTTTAAATAGAAAAATTAGACTTAAAGAGGGGAACATTAAAAACGCCGAGTTACAAGGCTTTGTTGCTATTATTATAACTTTTTAAATCATGATTTAGGTAAACGACAGGGGTTTATATCGATTCTAATGAAAAACAGATCTCCAACATTACTTAGTCTCGTTTATTCGATATTCGGACTATTGACACTTTTGTTGTACAATCAGCAGTTATAAGCTGGTTAACTTTAAATTTAATTGTGTACTAAATGGATGTCCACATTGGTAGGATTAAATATTACATCACATGCAGAGTATTTAGCCATGACTTTCAATCTTTCCACGTTAAATTTACCACATAACTTCAATTCTCTTGCAGCTGCACTGGATACCAGCTTGGTCTAGGTTTTTATTTAAAATTTGAGTTTAAACTCATATTGCATTTTAAAATCTGATATGTATAACTAACATTGGTTAAACATCATGACACAAAAGAACCATAACAATCATTTTAAAAGCAGTTCATGTTAAAATGCATTGACTGAAAAACAAATGTTGATGTTTTTAAACAGTATTATTATTTTTATTTTAATCTTACTTTAAATACTTTAAAGATTTTACTTTAAATTACTATTTCAGCAGTCAAACTTTCTGGCATATATCATCTTTCTTATTTATAAACGTTCATGAATTTGTTATAAAATCTACTCAACATGATATAGATTCCAGACATTAAATACTTAAAAAATATCTATTGTTATCATTATTTGTAGTTGTAGTTGTACAAGTCATAACTGACGAAAATAATTTAATTAAAAAGTACATGTTAGAAATATAAACATTTTGTGGGAAAAATGAAATAAAAATGGGAATTTTTTTTTCTGCGTACACATCTCCTTAGTTTGCGGATGCCCCTGGCATACATGTATCTGGTGGTCGATTTTGATTATAAAAAACATTTAAAATGTATTATTTCATGAAGGATGGTCAATGGCTTTGCGCATTTTTTACTCATCTTTAAAGAACCTAAGATATAACCAACTAGAAAATCACTCAGAGAGCGAAGACCTCCCCCAAGGCAACCGAGTCTCCATCCAATGCCATTTCACCCCTAAATTTTCGATATTTTTGATTACTGATTATTGGTTTATTTTTGATCGGTGTCACCACCATAAACTAATCATCTGTTCCTCAGTTTCTGAAAATATCATCAAAATCGGTCCATAACTTGTTTTTTTATTGATTATTGATTAATTATTGATCCGGGTCACTACCAAAAACTAATTATCTGTTCCTTGGACCACTGCTGACAGTTCCTGAAAATTTCATCAAAATCGGTCTATAACTTTTTGAGTTATGTTGATGACAGACAGACAGAAAGACATACGTCAGACAAACAAACAAACAGGGATGAAAACCACCTCCTTGGCGGAGGAAATAAACTAATATATCTATTGATGAAGGGAAGAAAGTAAAATATAATAATGAAAAATACTGTAACAGTAATTTATATTTAGAATTAGTACATCACAGAGGAGGTAGATGGCCTGGTGCATCAAAGGGCAGCTGTGGGACGGAGTTGGCTGAGAAGTTACCGACATGATTTAGATTCTATCTTGTGGAAATTCGTGTATACGCGTACACTAAGCAAGCGAAGCGTGATAGAGGCGTGGCGGAAACAAAAACGGTGGCTAAGCGATGCTTGCTTTTTAAGGGTGATTAAGGGGGCTGGTGTGGATTATTACAGTGTATCTTCATGAAAAATCTAAGAGTGCTTATTAAGTATACTTCTTACGCAATTTTCTATGAATGTCTTAGATATGTCGCTTCTTAAAAATATTCAGAAATGAAAGACACAGCAAGGCAGAATATATCATTTCTTAGTTTGTATACGGATGGTGCAATAACCTAATGAGAGAGAGAGAGAGAGAGCGGCCGTGGAAGGGAGAAGTTTTAGATTGGGAGTGAGCCAAGCTATTTTTTGACATAAAAAACGAGCACACACTTCGTCTCCTTCAGTGGCAAGAAAATAGTTACCACAGAAGAAACCAGGGGATATTTAGTCGTATAAGTTTTAAGCCACACACAAATGTGCTCTTAGTGATATGAAAGCAGAAAGGGGCTACATTAAACGCCTATCTCCAAATTTCAATATTAATTTGTTTCATATGGTCTAGAAAAATTAATGGAAATCATACACACAAACTGCACAATTTTTTTTTTATTATTATTATTCAGCAAGCTGATTTATAAAATGTCAGCAGATAAATGGGTCTAGCGAAATAAATTTAGTGCTATTACTATAGATACACAGCGTCCATTGTGGGTCACTGGTTAATTGCGAAGTTTTAGAAGTCATTTCGGTGATCTTTTTTTTTTTCGAAAATGATTATAACCGTACATATTAGAATTCAGAATCAATCAAATGACCAACATCCATTTCCTTCTTTACTTAAAAATGAATCTGCGATTATGGATAAAAAATTCGGTAATTGCGTGTATCTTTATTCAGTAACCGTGCGAATAGTTTACAAGTTTGCGGACCCCCCCTGGAATATTTCGGGACCCTGCATAAAACAAATGAAATTTAATAAAACAAGGAAAACTATATTACAAGGAAAACTATGTACCAAAGAGCGCTTATATGCGCTTTACTGATGCAACTTTTCGTTTACAGGGTATGTACTAGGACCAAAATGAAACTCGTGAAGAACAACTTTGACTGGAAGCAAAATGTGCATCTAAGTTAAGGAAATTTGCCGTGCCTTTCAAAAGATCAGGTTGTCGTTTATCAATATATTTACATGTATTTATTATGACTTAGATAAAAGTAGACAAAGACACATGTCTTTGATCAAATGATACAAGCGTTTTGTTTTAATGACACAGGGACCATTTAAGTTTTCCTGTTGATATTAGGCAGATATAATGCTCCGATTAAAATACTAAAGATAAAAATGCTAGATACGGGTTGGTCAGACAGCATTACCACGTTCAAGGGCTATAATGTGAAACGAAAAAGATTTTTATCACTGAAATATGCAGACTGAATTGTGATAACTGTAGAGACTGCACTCAACAGACGAGGATTAAGGGTTTTCTCCACTACAATTAACATATTCAAAACCTCAGATTCACAATTGATAAACTTGCACGTAAAGGACGTATGCTAACAAATGAAAAGAAGCTTACCGGCTGAGCTAAGCGGTCTTCTACGGTATTTAAGCGAGCGCGTCTCTGGAAAATCGACTTTAGGAAGCAAACAAAATAAAAAAAAGGATATACGTATACTCGCCAGCAGGGCTGCTCACAAGTAAGTGGAAGATTTTTTGACAATACATATCACTACAAGTACTGCTGAAAAACACCGGGTTTTTGAAAAAATAATGATAACACTAAAATTGTCATCGTTTTCATTTTATTGCTGAATGTTTTTATTGCTTTTATGCAGCGTAATTTTTTGTTTCGTTTTTTTCCAGATCAACAATTTGCGGTGAGCCATGGCTGTCACTATACCTCCTTTTGCTGGTAAGATCAGCGGAATATCAGCACGCTATTCGCTTTCACCATCATTACTCATAAGCACTTCGATATAGAAAAGAAAAAAATCTTTAAGAGTGTTATTTCTTTTTGGGGATACAGCTCATGATGTTGACTTTGATCTGAGCATATCTCATGCAGCACGTTTCAGATGTTAATAACGACAGCCGAAAATCCATTGTTCGGTATAAAAATTAAGTGGTTTGGGTGAAAAAGAAAACAACGTTTTTTGTTTTACCAAATATAAAAAACATAAAAAACACCGCAATTCCCAGTTACATTTATATTTCGAAGTACTTGCTGTGCAGATAATTGAATGTCGTTATAATTACTGCAGACAAAGGTACATTATTGTATTTCCAGGTTATACAAGCGATAACAGTACAAGTCTCTTCAGTGCTTGTTCATCGGGGGCGACTGCCGCTATTTACCCGCCACTGGCTTGTGGGGACAATACGCTGTGCACACGTAACCCGCTGTTCTCGATCTTCACCGGCTCCAACCAGGTGTGCCTCTGCCCTTTGACAGCTTACCCCTTGGTGAATGGAACGTGTCAGACCAGTGAGTGATTTTTTGGCATTTTTAAATGGTACAATTTACTGTTATGGGTGGAAGTCACAACCGCCCCAAAGGGTAGTAAATATAAAATATTTCTAAGTCATTCTTGCAATGTGTAACTGTTTACTGAGAATATTTTTCTGTTAAAGCAGAATGTGCAAATTCCACGATTCCTCAGGATTTCTAAAATTCATCAATTCCTGGCGGCTCTTGGAATGCGTAGTCGACGTGGAACAGGGGACTTAGTAGCCCGAATTGTGCGTGGATCTATGTATCTTTGTGATTAACTCGGAAAATATGACAATGACTTGTTCTAAAAATTGATATGCATTTTGTCATTTGGTTACTTTGGCTGGGCCCTTTCGTATACTCTGTCTGGGAGTTGTCATGGAGTTGAAATCTTGTCTTATGTTGAAAAAAGCTTGTAAAGTTTAGTGTGAACTTTATTTTTGTTATAAAAATGTTAACGTGCGGGAATCTATTGTCTAGCTGGTACTATTGTTAACAGAAACCAAACAGCGCATGAATGACAATGTTATTTCCATGGTTACCGCGCCAGGCTGTATGAACAACCCACAGGGACCCGCAGAGTAAGGAAGGTGATTTTCCGGCGGGTCTTTATATATATATATATATATATATATATATATAGTACTGATAAAGCATGTAAATCTAAAACATTTCTGTGCTCAGTAAATTATTATTATTATTAGTATTATTATTATTATTATTTTAGTTGCCGGAACATCCTGCACGACCGATCAAGACTGCAGTGACAGGTCGGCCGACTGCGTTGGTTTGAGCGGTTTCGGATTGGAAACTTCTTTAGTTGAATTTCTGTTGGTATGTTAGCACAGTTATCAACATCATGCACACAGAATCACAATCACAAAACTGTTGCATACGGTTTGCTACATGTATTCATGCAACTATACACTCGAACCAATTTTAGTTTGCCTTACAAGGTGCGCAACCTTTTTTAAGCGCCTTTTTTCAGAACTTAAAAAATGACTTTCTTTGTAAAAGAAGAGTGAAGGTCGATGGAACTCTCTAACCACCTTATCGATTTCTCAGGTCTTATATTCAATCGCATGAATTGAGCAAATATTGTTCAGTCTTATCAACGGCAAGTTCGACAGTAAGACATAAAAGAAATAAACACTGATGGAATTACAGCAGCTCATCATACCTCCTCGTGCAGCTTATTATCAACACATACTATTTTATTTACACCCCCCCCCCCCTTTACGCTGGACGGCGTCCTTTCTTCGTCTCGTAGTACAGCTGGGTTTTAAAGTAAAAAATACCAATAATAATTTAATTACGTGCCAACAACTGGGCCATCATTAAGCATCCATGTTGTAACCAAGGCACTAAACACAAAGGGCGCAGAAATGACGCCGTCCATTATAAAGAGGTTTTAAGACCAATGCATAAATTTGATTACCGATTGCTATTTAGCTACTGCGCATGCGTTTCTGTTCTAGCCTGTCGTTGTGTTCGTGTGTCAGCTGACGGTTGAATTCAGCTTTCAAGTCCCGGTGTGGAGCTGCACGGGAAACACTTGCGCCGTCGTGGGAATCGGGACACCGTCGATATTTACTGGAGGGTTCCCTGGAAGACGCAAACGGGAAGGTACGAATGAAGACACTCGGGGTTCACTCATAATAATACCTGTACTTATCTTTAACTATGGGGATTGGATGACAGTTACATGTGAGATGTGTCATTGCAAGAGGAATAATTAAATGGTTTTGGTTTTTGGTATAGACCAGTATATATATATATATATGTTTGTTTTCCTATTCTGCAGTTTCTATCCCATCTGAAGCAATACAAGAAGATCATGCTGCCCCGATAACAGCGTCTGTATCCAGGGAAACAAGAAGCGAAGCAGAGACTGCTTTTGGGCCGGAGATCTCTTCCGTCGGTGACTCCAAATTGAGGCAAAAACGGTGGACGCCAACAGTGGCGTGCACACCTGCTGTCCAAGCATGGAGCTTTATATTAAGCTTTATCACCAGCCAGACAAGTTCGTACGTCTGTAATCCGTTCGCACCTACTTAAAAACCAAATATCAATATACCCGTCAATCATTTAAGACAGTCAAAAGGACGGAGGATCAACTCCATGCTAAGTCATAGCTATTGGTGTAAGTTACCAGGACTTCGATGCGTTTTTTTTTCTTGCTGACAGGATAGTTGACATTTTATGACATGTTTGCAAATTTCATAAATGTTGGTAGGTTCAATTTCAAGAAGAAATTTTTGTGCACATTGCTTTGGACAGTGTATTATTTCAAAACGAAAATTTATGTCGACGTGTGAAGGGTGATGATCAATACATTGGTGAAAAATAAAATGTGGTATTTTGATCGTATCATAACTGTTGGCTTATTTGAACAGGATCATACTGTGACAGGAACAACGGAAGTTGACTCCGAGTAAAGGAATCGTAGCTCGTTCAATGTTACTTTATACACGTGATATTCACCCTCTAACTCAACCCTGGGAATGCATGTCCTGGGTCTTCCATTCCTAGGAACGCATGTTGTAGGACATAATTTCCTGGAATTTAAAGTCTTTAAAGTCCAGTGGACATCCATTACTTAGTATTCTAAGTCCTGCGGACAGGTATCGATGTCCTAGTCGGACATATTTTCCCAGCTAGACTAGATGTCCTCTGACATTTTCATATGGATGGTGTCTTAATTTTAGAAGATTTAAACGTGATGTTTAAGTATGTTATTACGCTTCTTACAATTATTTGTATACATATACCCCTATACACAATTTAATGGGTAACTTAAGATATTTCAAATAAACGAACAAATGACTACAAATTAATATTAGATTTAGGATATATATAAACTTTTTCATTTTATTTCCTATTTTAATTAAAATAAAATATCAAAATATGAAACATATGAGGTTCGCACCAGTCAATGCACCTTATGAAATATCTCGGCCATCCACATTCTTGGGGTACACACCTTTAAATTTTGGCTGGTGCCCATCGGTAAAGCCCCCTTTACACTGGCCGGCGTCCTTTCTGCGTCCAGCAGTACGGCCCCATTTGAGAGTTAAAAAATTATAATACTTTAAGTGCCGACAACTAGCCGATCATTGAGCATTCATTCTGATACAAAATCAATGCTCGTGCCTCCTTATTAAGACCACAGCGATGCCAAATTTCATGGTCGCAGAAAGGACGCAGAAAGGACGCCGCCCAGTGTAAAGGGGCCCTAAGGCTCGAGGTGTTCTGGCAAATAGAGTCTCAGATGACAGTATATTATTTATGCTGGACGGTGTAATTCTGCAAAAATTATACATGGCATACACTCTCTCTCTCTCTCNCTTAGTTGAATTTCTGTTGGTATGTTAGCACAGTTATCAACATCATGCACACAGAATCACAATCACAAAACTGTTGCATACGGTTTGCCACATGTATTCATGCAACTATACACTCGAACCAATTTTAGTTTGCCTTACAAGGTGCGCAACCTTTTTTAAGCGCCTTTTTTCAGAACTTAAAAAATGACTTTCTTTGTAAAAGAAGAGTGAAGGTCGATGGAACTCACTAACCACCTTATCGATTTCTCAGGTCTTATATTCAATCGCATGAATTGAGCAAATATTGTTCAGTCTTATCAACGGCAAGATCGGCAGTAAGACAAAAGAAATAAACACTGATGGAATTACAGCAGCTCATCGTACCTCCTCGTGCAGCTTATTATCAACACATACTATTTTATTTACCCCCCCCCCACCCCCCTTTACGCTGGACGGCGTCCTTTCTGCGTCTCGTAGTACACCCGGGTTTAAAAGTAAAAAAAAATACCAATAATAATTTAATTACGTGCCAACAACTGGGCCATCATTAAGCATCCATGTTGTAACCAAGGCACTAAACACAAAGGGCGCAGAAATGACGCCGTCCATTATAAAGAGGTTTTAAGACCAATGCATAAATTTGATTACCGATTGCTATTTAGCTACTGCGCATGCGTTTCTTTTCTAGCCTGTCGTTGTGTTCGTGTGTCAGCTGACGGTTGAATTCAGCTTTCAAGTCCCGGTGTGGAGCTGCACTGGAAACACTTGCGCCGTCGTGGGAATCGGGACACCGTCGATATTTTCTGGAGGGTTCCCTGGAAGACGCAAACGGGAAGGTACGAATGAAAACACTCTGGGTTCACTCATAATAATACTTATCTTTAACTATGGGGATTGGATGACAGTTACATGTGAGATGTGTCATTGCAATAGGAAGAATTAAATGGTTTTGGTTTTTGGTATACAGCAGACCAGTATATATATATATATATATATATATATATATATATGTGTGTGTGTGTGTGTGTGTGTGTGTGTGTGTATGTGTGTTTTCTTTGCATGCTGCTGGTAAAAGTCGTAGTATTTAAAAAAAAAAGCAACATTTTCTTGCCCTGTTTTTTTTTTTTTTTTTTTTTTTTTTTTAAAAT